GTCCAGGCTGGATTCGAACCCGCCACCTTAGGTGTATGTGGCTGGCGCCTTAGCCGCTTGAGCCACAGGCGCTGAGCCGACAGCTACAACTTAAAAAAAAAAATATCTGGGTGTTGCGGTGGGTGCCTGTAGTCCCAGCTACTTGGAAGGCTGAGGCAAGAGAATCACTTAAGCCCAAGAGCTGGAGATTGCTGTGAGCTGTGACGCCACGGCACTCTACCCAAGGCAACAGCTTGAGACTCTATCTCAAAAAAAAAAAAGAAAGAAAAAGAAAAATCCTTTCTTCATGCATACTTGCAAAGATTATAAAATTGCCTGTAGTTGATTTTTAACAAAAGCATAATTGCATTGCTTTGGAGCCTGACCTAGAAATTTCCATTATCACTATGTATTCCTAAATATCGTGAGTGCTGCAGAATACGATTTGAATGAATTGTGGTTACTGCCCCGTGGGTATATGTAAGAAATTCAGGCAGACATACAAGTGATGAGCTCATCAAACAGAACACTTTGCTACCTTTATTGGGACCAGTCTTAATTTTTCGGCTGTTCATTGTTGAAATTTAATTCCTGCTGAGAAAGAAGTACAGTAGCATACATTAAAGATACATTTTTATTTCAAAGTGTAACTCAGTTTGCAGGACCAAAATAGCACTGTTAAAGTTCAGAGTCTTTTTTGTTTGTTTTGTGAGACAAGGTCATACTCTGTTGCCTGAGCTAGAGTGCAGTGGCATCATCATAGCTCACTGGCACCTCAGACTCCTGGCCTCAAGCAGTCTGCCTCAGCTTCCCAGAGTGAGCCATGGTGCCCAGTCAGTGGCCTTTTCTGTGTCAAAATTTTTTGTGTAATTTTTATTGATTTGGAAAATTTTAATCATCTACTGTGAGAAGTCAGATTGGTCAGAATTTACAGATAATGGTGTTCTCAGGTATTCTGGTTTTCCTAGGAATTATCCCCCAAACCCTTGTTTCCCTGTTACTGGAGAGAATGTGTGTGATGCTGTGCTCTATAAAACACCCTGGGATGAGCACGTTCTACGTCAGTTTGGCCAATGTGCCAAATAAGAGCTTATGGAGGAGATTCTTTCTAGATCCTTTTGCTTTATTTTTTAAATTTTAAAAAAAAGTGTAATATGTTTCTTTCTGGAAATGTAGAATTAAAAGAAATTGAGTTTTTTCAGTTCTGAGCTGAGAACATGATTTTCAGATTTTGATTCTACTATTAAATACCTAAAATGAGATTTTTTTCCCGTAATTTGCCTCTTCTAAAAGTTCATCACCAGTAATTCTAGCTAATTAAGTTTTTACTATATTTCTCTTGGTCTTTGAAACTTAATCTCTGCATTTGAAAAAAGTATGCATCTTAACTGAAAGGCAGCTGCCATCATCTGCAGGATATTAACTAGGTCTTGGTGCTTCTTTATTACTATTATTATTTTTTTTTTGAGAGAGAGCCTCAAGCTGTCACTCTGGGTAGAGTGCTGTGGTGTCACACCTCACAGCAACCTCAAACTCTTGGGCTGAAGCAATTCTCTTGCCTCCGATATAGCTGGGATTACAGGTGCCCACCAAAATGCCAGGCTATTTTTTTTTTTTTGGTACAGTTGTCATTATTGTTGTTTAGTGGGCCAGGGTCGGGTTCGAACCCGCCACCCTCAGTGCTTGTATCTGGCACCGCAACCACTGTGCTATAGGCGCCCAGCTGGTGCCTCTTTATTATTTTTTAGTAATCTATTTATTGTTTAGTTTTACTTATGGTTTACTTAGAATTCCTAAAATAATTCTTGCTTAGTGGAAAGGAGGAAACCTTTTTAAAATTCTTCTAGCAGTGATTTCTACCCTACCTTCTTTTAATTCCCTTAAAGAAAATCTGGTACTGACTGGGGTGCTCCAACTTCCTATACTAACCTTTGTTTAATTCAACAGCAGGCAGTTGTCTACAAGGCAGAAATCCTTTAGTTGGACTTCTTAGTACAGTCAAAAGGATTCTTTGTTTGTTTTTTAAGACTTTATTTACTTTTTGTTGTTGTCATTGTTGTTGCAGTTTGGCCGGGGCCAGGTTCGAACCCACCACCTTTGGTATATGAGGCTGGCACCCTACTCACTGAGCCATAGGCGCTGCCTTTTTTTTTTTTTTTTAATTTGGATTAACAAAATCAGCATGAAACACAGTGGAAATTACATAACCTAGAATCTTAAATTGAAGTTTACTATGTGGGTTTTTGCTTTTAAGTTCATTAGTCTTTACAAGTTCTAAGTATTAAGGGAGATGGTATCATCAGTTACTAAGGTTGACAGTGTTTAAGAGAATTTCTCAAAGCAATATGGCAGCTCTCCTAACGACCAAGTCTAATCTGTGCATTTTCCATTTAATAAAGTGATATTTTGGCTGCCACAGGGAACTGGTGTAGTGGTATCAAATTATTAAAAGTGTATTTGCTTACTAATTTTGTGTTTATCTTTTATCAGTGCTTCTTATTGTGGTATCTGTCTGTACAGCTACTGGTGCTTGGAACTGGTTAATAGATCCTGAGACACAAAAGGTACAAGTTTTATTTTTAAATTTTTAGTGGATTAAGTAAAACAATGTATATTGCAGTACTTTGTTAACTATAAAGTATTACTCAAATGTTAACCTATTACTGCTACTAGTGATATTAATCATTACATTAAAAATAAACCTTATATTAATTTCCTCCAGGAAAACTTTGGCTATTGTGAATTAACTGTCTTTACAAAGGAAACAACTGAAGAAATATTACTCCACTTACAGTATTTCTCATTTGTTTTTGAATTTGTATAGATTTTACATGGTTTTTTTGCATATCTCATTTTTATTTATTTCATTGTGAACATTCTCTGTTCTGATTTGTTCATTCAGTGTCATCAGTACTAGCTCTTAAAAATCATAAAATAGGGCTTGGCGCCTATAGCTCAACGGCCTAAGGCGCCAGCCACGTACACCTAAGGTGGCGGGTTCGAATCCCCAGCCCGGACCCGCCAAACAACAATGA